CTTGTAACGTATACTATCGAAATATATCCATTTCCGATTTTGTTGCTAACTATAACATATGCAAAATAATTAGTTTATCTGCGTAGGCGCCCGCGCCGAGCACTTTATTCACTAAAGGGCGCCGACTCTGATAAACTAATTATTTTGCATGTGTTAGAGTTAGCAACAAAATCGGAAATGGGTATATTTCGATAGTATACGTTACAAGGAACATTTTGGTACCAAAAACTTCCGAGCAACAAATTCTTTAAACAATCTTTTTGTGAATAAAGTGCTCGGCGCGGGCGCCTACGCAGATAAACTAATTATTCTGCATATGTCATAGTTAGCAACAAAATCGGAAATGGGTATATTTCAATAGTATACGTTACAAGGAACATTTTGATACCAAAAATTTCCTATTTCCGAGCAACTAACTCTGTACATGTATCTTTTAGTCATGACGCTGCTACGCGTGACGATGTAATTTTGTTAATTTATGGATATTTATTTAACAATTGAATTTTTTTGATGTTTCTTTGCACTATTCTGGAGCAACAAAAAAGCAACATAATCTGGTGTACTTGTTTTTTTGATATTGCAGCTCTATATCCGTTTTTTGACTATGGGGGTGTCCAGCTTTCCATTAAGCTGGACCCACCCATTTTTTATTTTTTTTTACTGCGGAACGGTTGGAGCAACAAAATTCTTTCTGGAGCAACAAATTAGCAACAAAAGAGCACTAAATTTTTCAATATGTCCGGACCCGATTTGCGCTGGTGGGGGGTCCAGCTTAATAGGGGTAAATTTACCAGTCCTTTTCTCTTAGTGAGTTGTCCTAATATCGAACCTTATAAGCAATCACATGAAAAAATTGTGTGCCTAATGGAATGCAGTAAGATACATAAATACAAAATAAATATGTATAGGCAATATTATTGCACCTGAAATTCCTGTGGGCCAACTACTTCCATCGACATGACAAGATAATAAAAAGATGATGCAATCAAAATGGTAATGGCGAGGCGTCCCTTTAAACACTGGACGCCCGCAGTTACGACGCTTCCATGCCACACGGCCGCGCGCCAAGACGAGTGAAGAGACTGTCAGTACTGTCAGTAGTGTAATGCGACGGCACAGTCAAAGCCGGGGCAACGCTTTTCAAAAAAATGTGATCGAGGTGATACCCAAGACGAGAGAAAACACGTCCGGCCCGTTCGAGTGGTCTCATTTTCAATTTCTCATTCTTTTTTTCACAGTGTTGCCAGATGGCCACAGCCAAAACCCCCCACAAGCAACGCCAATTTCCCCTAAATGAAAAAAAAAACCCCCAAAAACTTCAAGCGAGTTTTCAGATCCAATGAATATTGTCGGCACTAAAAAAAAGGGGGAAAATAGTTAATCTTAAATTGAACATAATGTATTATATTTATTATAACGTTAATATATTATATCTTATATCTTATAAGCGTTATTCATCAGTGTGTGAGCGTCTAAGGCCCAGTTCCACAACTGACGATTAACTCTTAACCGAGGTTCAACTTGTTTCTCATTTCTTTCCAATTCTAGAATTGGAAAGACATGATGAATAAGTTGAACCTCGGTTAAGAGTTTTTGAGTAACCGTCAGTTGTGAAACTGGGCCTAAATCATAGATAAAGAAACATGTACAAGAAATATTTACTTGACTATGGCTCTGTTTCAAAGTTCATTGCCAGCGCTAAAAATCTACAGTTTACGTTATGTAAACTATACATTTTTAGTACTGGCATTGAATTTTGGAACACAGCCTATATTTACACGTATATCCGCAAATGCTTCCAACACATCTTCAACAAAATTCGAAGAGTACATATTTTCAGAATTAAATTTTCGAATCATTTCTTTTGAAGGTTCGAAATTTATACATCCATCAGGAAGATTGTCCTTTAAACGTAAAATTGTTTCTGTGGTTTTTATGGACATTTTGTTTCGTAATTTATT